GAACAATGGACGAAAATGGTGGGAAAAGGGAAAAAAAAGGGAAAAGGGAAAAAAAACACCAATAAGCTTCGACCATTGTTCTTTTTTCTTATTATTCTATAATTTACTCTATTTACCTCGAGTTAGCTCTTCTGAAGCTGCAAAATACTTAAAAAAAGACAGCAAAGACGAATGCAACCGACCAGGTACAGAAGCGATGGCAAGATAAACCGCTTCATGGCCAATACTCTGCCCGTACCAAACAAGCTGACGTAGACAAAACCCGTACCCATCAGTGGCTATATAATGCAGAGTTGAAAGCCGAAACTGAAAGTTTTACCCTTGCTGCACAGGACCAATGCTTGTTAACTAGAAATTATCAAGCACATGTACTAAAATATTGTGTCAGCCCAAAATGCAGATTACGTGTTATTAATATCCAGAAACGATTGATCATCTTGTATCAGGTTGCACGATATTGGCACCCACTGAATATAAAACCCGGCATGACAGAGTGGGCCAATATCTGCACTGGAAAATCTGAAACTTCTACGGGAAGGAAACTGAAAGAAAAATGGTATGAACACCACCCAGACCCGGTTACGGAGATAGGACCTGTTATAATTCTATGGGACTACACAATACACACTGACAGAACAATCAAAGCCAATAATAATAATAATAATAATAATAATAATAGCACCCACTGAATAAAAAACTCAGCATAACAGAGTGGGTGAATATTTGCATTGGAAAATATGCAACTTTTACTGGAAGGAAACTGAAAGAAACTGGTATGAACATCACCCAGACCCGTTTACAGAGATAGGACCTGCAACAGTTTTATGAGATTTTACAAGACACACAGACAGAAGAATCAAAACTAATCACCCAGACATCGTGAATCAAAGACCACAAGAACAGAATATGCCTTTTTAATGGCATGGAAAGTCCCTGTAGATTTTAATGTATCTATGAAGATCTTCAAAAAAATTATCAAAATATAAGGATCTTGGAGTGGAAATTTCGAAAATGCAGCACATGAGGATATCAATAATTCTAGTTGTAGTTGGAGCCCTCGGATTGAATGGAAAAGGTTCCGATAGATTCATTGAAGGGATTCCTGGAAGCCTATGCTTTAAAGAAATAAAAAAAAATTGTACTCACAAGTAGAGTTCACACATTACGAAGAGCAAAATGTGTGTGATCTTAGGTTTTTATTTCGTTTTTTGAGATATTTTTTATTTTTTTTACAAAAATAGAACAACGAAACAAAAACCCAAGGAAATATAATAATAATAATAATAATAATTCTATATTTTTGACACACTAACCAATGTATATAAAAGCATGCCATATAAGAGACGTCATGATAAGGTATGCTTCTATGGACATTGGTCCTTGTGTCGAAAGTATGGATACCAAATTGCAGAAAATTTGCTACGAGCATGTTCCTTTGTAGAACAATTGATGAAGTTGGAAAGCCTCCATTATTCTGGGACTATGATTATTCTGGTAATACACCATCGATGTCCGAATAGAATTCTGATAAATAAACAGTCATATTATTGATCTTGCTATACCAAATGACACAAATATGGTTGAGAACATTACAAACAACTTTGATTTTAAAGTTAAGATAGGTTTGCATGGAAAGAAGGAGGCGAATGTTAATGTGATTCCAGTGCTGATTTGCGCACTGGGATCAATCCCATTAAATCTTTCCGTCTTCCTTGATCAGCTGGAGACACCGTAGCATCTTGAAGTCATTCAAATATTGTCACTTTTGGGCAATGACCCATATTTTGAGCAATGTCTTGTCTCTCTGTTTGATTGATTGGTTTGTTGATGAAGGGAAGGACAAGCACAGGAATAATATTTTGAACACAATTTTATGGCTTCAACTAAATATATACTATAAATAGGTATTGTTGGTTGATTGATTTTGTTTAGCCGTATATCAACCTCTATGGGTTATTTAATGCCGAAATCTAAATATTTTGAACACAATTTTATCGCTTCAACTAAATATATACTATAAATAGGTATTGTTGGTTGGTTGATTTTGTTTAGAGGCATATCAACCTCTATGGGTTATTTAATACCGAAATCTAAATATTTTGAACACAATTTTATCACTTCAACTAAATATATACTATAAATAGGTATTGTTGTTTGGTTGATTTTGTTTAGAGGCATATCAACCTCTATGGGTTATTTAATGCCGAAATCTAAATATTTTGAACACAAATTTATCACTTCAACTAAATATATACTATAAATAGGTATTGTTGGTTGGTTGATTTTGTTTAGAGGCATATCAACCTCTATGGGTTATTTAATGCCGAAATCTAAATATTTTGAACACAATTTTATCACTTCAACTAAATATATACTATAAATAGGTATTGTTGGTTGATTGATTTTGTTTAGAGGCATATCAACTCCTCTAAGGGTTATTTAATGCCGAAATCTAAATATTTTGAACACAATTTTATGGATTCAACTAAATATATACTATAAATAGGTATTGTTGGTTGGTTGATTTTGTTTAGCGGCATATCAACACCTCTATGGGTTATTTAATGCCGAAATCTAAATATTTTGAACGCAAATGAATGCCTTCAGCTACAGATAAAATTTATCGTTGGTCATTTTGCTATAAAATTGTAATGTTGGTAATGTTAGTATAAATAGATATTGTTGGTAATTTGTTTATATAAAAATAATTAATGGTATTTCTACAATAAAAATGTATTTTTATACTTTCATAATGTTTTATATTTGTTTGGGGGATCACTATTTACCCATAGCTGGGACCCTAACAGGTGCTACGATCCATAAATATAATACGATGATAAGAAGAACTGTGAAAGCAGCCTACCAAGAAATAATTGTCAGTTATACACAAGGTGCAATGAATAAGCCGTCGCCATTTTAATTTCGCGCATGCGTGTTTCTTGTTTTTTTATTTTGTGGACTGCACAGTATAGTAGGGTCAGTTGGGCACCCTCTGCGACAAAAAGAGAGAGCACCATGACACAATTCACTCTACCAGAAATTTGGAAACGACATGCTGTACTGCTCGGCATTCGCACCGGAAGCTACAATATTAACATTTCAGAGATTTGGGTTCCAATCTGAGGACAATACAATCAATTTGGAAAAGGTTGGATGATCCAATGAGCATCATGGTATTTGGAGTGATCACTAGGGATGGCGGATGTCATGCCTTCATTCATCTTCCCACATGGCCTCAGACTCAATACCTACATTACATTCAGTGCCTTGAGGAGGTAGTGCTGCTCTCAGTCAAGAGGCTGGCTGCTGGAAAACTCTTTGTTTGACGGCAGGACTCTGCACCATGTCACAGAAGCAGAAGAACCTATTCTTGGCTGTCAGACAATTTTTGCAGTTGAGAAAAAGACCAGCAAAACTTCTTGTAACACCAAAGATGAAATGAAAGCAAGGATTATGGCAGCATTCACCAACTTAAACAAGGAAACCATCTAAAAGATTTGCAGAAGATTATGAAGTCGTCTGGAGTCCATAGTTGAAGCCAATGACGATTTTATTGAATAAATTTACTCTTTAATATCTCAAGATATTTTTGTATAATTTTGGTAAGTATATCTGTTAAAATGAGATGTCAGTGTTATTTTCATTTTTGCGTAATTTAAATGACATTTATACATCGTAATGTTATATATATATATATATATATATATATATATATATATATATATATATATATATATAGAGAGAGAGAGAGAGAGAGAGAGAGAGATAGACATGAACATACTAAGACAGACAAACAGATAGCTAGATAGAAAAAGACCAGCAAAACTCCTTATAACACCAAAGATGAACTGAAGTCAAGGATAATGCCAGCATTGACCAACTTAAGCAAAGAGACCATCCAGAAGAGTTGCAGGAGATTCCAAAGTAATCTAGAGGTTGGGGTTGAAGCCAATGGTGATTTTATTGAATAAATTTACTCTTTAGTATTTCAAGATATTTTTGCGTAATTTTGGTAACAGATATATATCTGTTAACATTCGATGTCAGTGTTATTTTCCTTCTTGAGTCATTTAGACGACAATTTATCCATCGCAGCTTGTTTATCTGTTAAAATGAGATGTCAGTGTTATTTTCAAATTTATCCATTGCACCTAGTATATCTGTTAAAATGAGATGTCAGTGTCATTTTCATTTTGACGACAATTTATCCATTGCACCCAGTATATCTGCTAAAATGAGATGTCAGTGTTATCTTCATTTTTGCATCATTTAGACGACAATTTATCCATCGCAACCTGTAAATCGGTTAAAATGAGATGTCAGCGTTATTTTCATTTTTGAGCCATTTGGACGACAATTTATCCATCGCACCCTGTTTATCTGTTAAAATGAGATGTCAGTGTTATTTTCATTTTCGCGTCATTTAGACGACAATTTATCCATCGCAACCTGTATATACGAAGCCTAGAAAAAATGGAAACACAAAAGAAAACTTATACATAACATCAGGAAGAGGCAATTGAAATTTTTGGAGCACGTAATGAGGAAGGAGGGCTTGGAAAATCTGATACTCACAGGACAGACTGAGGGCAAAGGAAACAAAGGAAAGCAGCGCGTAAAAGACTTGATGAGCTTGAGGAAAGGGTTGTCAGAACAGGGTTTGGGAGAAATAACAAAGAGAGAAAACTTAGGAGCTACTAGGAACAGGACGTTGTGGAGAGTCATGACCGCCTACCTCCTGAAAGGAGACAGCACAGAAGAAGAATATACCCTTGGCTTACGTTCAAACAATCAGTTAGTAAATTGCTTTTATATTTTAATTTCGCCTTAGTTTTAAATTGCCCAAACGATTTATCGAGCCTTCAATTAAAGTATTATTTTTTAAAATCTTCCCAAACGATCACCGGAGTTAAGCAACGTCGAGCCTGGTCAGATGGGTGACCACTTGGGAATACCAAGTACTACGGTAGGGATATGTGTGTGCGGGTGGTATAAATGACTTACGGCCATATTATATTGAAGCACCAGTTCCCGTATGATTATCGAAGTTAAGCAACGTCGAGCCTGGTCAGATGGGTGACCACTTGGGAATACCAAGTACT